CAGTGTACTTGCACAAAAGGTGGGGCCAACTCACATCTCTCTGAATAGTACTCTGAGGAACGTGGCTCCATCTCCCGGGATTCAGGCCATCTCCTTCTGCCAAACAGCTGGCATCTGGCATCCAGTTGGCATTGTCTGATGAGCCAGGACACCTGGCTGCAGTATTCTCACTTGCTGGGTGTCTCGGATGTCCTCAGAAATCAGTGAAAACGAGTTCATGACTAAAACTTGGTCTCAGCTTCTTTATCATCAAGAGGGTTGTGTCTCTAGGACCTACGATGGCTCATACAGTGACTCTGGGTTGTTGTTTGGTTTTTAATGCAATTCAGTATAGCAAAGATTTGTACAGTTTCTGCTTCTGCCTGAGACAATGAACTTGGATCTTGTAGCTATAAAAGCAATCTTGACAAAGATCTAATATGAAAAGCCCCCCTGCCTTCAGGGAATTTTCACTCTGTTGGGGAATGGATGAGTGAAACTCATTTTCAGGATACTGTTTAGGAAGTTCAGAAATGATGTTTAAATATGTTCCAAATTATTTAAGCCAAAAAAAAAAAAAAAGGAAAGACTTGGGACACCTCAAGAATTTTTAAAATATGGCAAAAGAAAAAAATGTTGCTTTCTATGTGGCGGGCTCTCAAGCAGCCAAAACAGGATATAAAAAGTCTTGCATTACTGCTAATACTCAAATAATTTTCCAAACTGTATGTGCAGGAACAAAAGCAGGCATTTTCTGCAGCAACGAGGAGGTGAATGAGATTGTGAGTGGACTGACCAATCCCATCGTCCGTCGCTGCACTAGTTAGGTGTCTGAAGCCGTCTGTCCAGGTCTTTGCTTCTTACAGCAATTTGTGGTGAACAGTATAGCCAAAGGCAGACATAGCCATGCTCACTCTATCATGCTGTGGAGATTCTATGGTGTGTCTAAAAACAACACGGTTCAAAGGTTCAGAGAGAGTGGGAAGCCTGTCCTGAAGCAGTGTTTCCTTCCGTTCCTTATCATTTTGACAGTTGGATGAACTCCAGAGAAGGGGTTTTCTTATCCACGTCTAACCTTAACGTTCAGGGAGTTGGCCTTTCTCGAGATTAGAATGCACTAAATATATCCTGAGGAAAGGGTGCAGTAACCTGTTGGCAAACCCAGTCCAGAAGATGTGAACTTTCTCCCTTTTTTGGGACAGCAGAGGAAGGCGCAGGAGAGGGCGAGACGGGGAATGAAGGTCAATAGTCTCAGCTCCGAGTCAAAGCTCCAGTAAGCATTTTAGTGTCACCTCCATGGGGACAGTAGAGACAGTATCGCTTCCACCTTGATGACAGCACTTGGCCTGAACACAAACCATTAACTCAGCCCAAGTCCCAGCCAGTGGCTCCAGAGACCCAGAGTTATAAATAGCACTTCAGCACTGGTGCTCGGTGCTTATCACTATTAAGCAGAAGAGTGCATTTCCCCAAATGCCTAAAAATCAATGCAAAAGGGACTTCCAAAGGATGTGATTTTACTGAGCTTTTAGGGTCAGACAAACAGTCCAAAAATCCCTGCAAAGAGGAAACTCCGCCGATCTTGACACTCTTACCTATCTCAGGGATTCTTACAGTCCTTGATTTCTCAAGAATGGTGCATGAAAATCAGATCTCTCCTGCTTGGAAATTCTCGAGAATCCCCGTTCTTCCTTCCCAATGACAGCTCTTGTGATCTCACGTGGGAACCCACAATTGTGATGACGAAGTAAGGGAACTGGGTGCCCCATGCAGGACCTGCTCCCACACATGCAGCAGGCACCTAGAGCTGCAGAGCCCCACAGCTCACTGGCTGTCACAACAATTCCAGAGAAGCAAGGCTGCTTCCCGCCTGGCAGCCGAACCACCCCTACATGGGTACCACCCAGCCTTAGCGTCCTCTGGGGAACGGGTCTTGGTTCTCTCCTGCCATTCACTCCTCTGAGCTGCAAGCATTAGAATGAAATATTTCTGGTTTTATACATAAATTCAATTCCAGAAGCTATTATTAAGGATAATTTTGCCTTCATAACTCACTCTCAGTGGAGACAAAGGCCAGCTTCTTACAATATGGGGGTGAGAATGCTAAAATACTTCTCAGAATTACCTTTTCATTGATCTCTAGGTCCTTGGTGATTGTGTATTTTGGGATGTCCTGTACATTCTATATCCAATTCTTCCTACAGAGCCCTTCTGCTGTTAATATTTTTAGCAAGCAGGGAAACGTCATCTATGCCTCAGTTGTCCATCTAGGGGAAGGGAGAGTGTCCTCAAGATCTCTGGCAATCTAATTGGTTATGATTCATTCACTTTATATAGAACGTCCTTAATATTCTGGTGAGTAATTTCCAAAACTTTGTGAGAGGTTGTTGATTCACACTGGCATTAAATGCAATTATGAGATTGGAGTATAACGACATCTCCACGGGTGAGGCTGGACTGAGGCATGTGGAGGAGGGAGGGGAGGGGGTGTGGGATGAGAAAGCCGTAATCAAATCTCGTGGAGATGGCACATCTTCAGACACCAGGCAAGATTAGGCAAACTATCGACACACAACGCACGGCCAGCTGCAATCGGAAACAGGGTTCTTACAAGAACTGCCTATCATTCACTTGGCTGAAGAAGCCTCAGAGTAGTGATGACGACGGATTGCATAGGCTTTGGGGTGAATCATCAACGCCTGGGTGCAATTCAGCTTGGCAGCCAAGTCTGATGATGTGACTGTTCCAGACCATTCGACAGAGAGATGATGAATGCCAGAATACATTCCAGAAGCCTCCCTTTATTTGTACCCACAAACAAAATGTCCTAAAACAGTACTCCTAAACCCTCACTAGATCTGAATTGAGGAACTTGCCCCCAGAACATTTGAGGAGTAAATGCACCCCCTGGAAACAGTCACAGTCAGCTGCAGGGACCTCTAACACAAAGGTAATGAAAACTCACAGGAGAGAATCAGATGCGGAGCCAGAAAGACTAAGGGGTTTGGAATTTGGTTTTAAAGATCTGGAATCCCAGAGCAGCCTCCTGCCACCTCCTGCCAGGCAGGAGTGACCAGGTCTGCCTCCCAAGTCTTCTGATGAGCGAAGGCAGCTCTGAGCCAATAGAGGATACTGTCCTCCTTTGGCCTGACCCCGGCAGGCTTCCCACGGTGTCAGTGGAGAAAAGGACTCTTTCAAATAGCCTGCCCTGGCCTTCCAAGACGTTAGGCAACCTTAGCCTCCTAAGAGCAGCTTAGTTAAGAGCTTGAGGCCTGGTGTATCCCACAACAACATAGAACACAGTTCCCAACCTCCACTTCCTGAAAAGCCATCACATAAGAGTGTGGAAATATATGTATCATTTTCCAGAGCAGGCAAGTAACAGCACGTTAAAAAGGCACAAGAGCAATTCAAAGAGGCCCCATCGTTCACAAATTGAAGTAAGAGGATCTACCCCTGAAGCCAAGCATTTCCTTTCCAATCCTCGGCTCTTTTTCCCAGGAGGAAAAAAAAATCTTTCTGAGATTATTTTCTCACCAGTCTGGAACTCATAGCAATCCTCCTGCCTTGGTTTCCTAAGTGCTAGGATTATAGATAGGCATGCGTCACCAAACTGAGAGTGATCATCCTTCAGTAGCCCTGTTTTTTAGGTCTTCAATACCATCGAACTAACCAATGTTTACACCAATGTATTTCTGGCTTTATCAACATCATATAACAAGTATAGCTTCCTACAATGAATGATCCGCAATCCCACCCACGTTCCCTACTCTTCCACACCTGCTTTTTGCCTTCCAATTTTGTAGGTTACATTACTATTTTAAGAGGTTTACTAATTGGATGCACAGCTCTAAGTAATATGCATCCAATTCCTGTTTCTTGACTCCTCGGAGTTTGCCGTTCTCAACCCACTTATAGTCCATAAAATGAGGAAAGGTACATAGTGATGAACCTCAATGGGTCTTTGTTCCCTCCCCATCCCTACTAGTCAGCTGATCAGTATCTACCATGAAGACAGAGATTCTTAATGACTGGAGCTACTGAAGTCTCCTCTGCTAACACTCAGAATAGGTCTTGGACTAGGCTGATGCAGGTTATGGGCCTCAGCTAGACAAGAAAATTGAGAAGGGAAGGAGGAAGTAGAAGCTAGGAACCAATAGGGTCCAATGTCATCACTTGCTCTTTAAAAGGTCCGTTGAAGTCTCTCAGCATTTGTACGTGAGAAAATATACCTGAAGTCCCAGGAAAACTCATGGAGCTTCATCTTACCACCACCATCACAAACGCGTGCCTCGTGCTATGCAACCAGAGCACCAGTACGAGCTCATTCTGGTCTACCATCTCAGTTCGAGCCCCTTCTGTGTACGGGGTATTGTGCAAAAAACTCAGAATTCAAAAGGGAGTAACTGAGCTGGGGCCGTCAGGAGTCCAGCCAGCTGTGGAATCCGACAGCAAATAGTTTCGAGGAGAGGGGAGAGCTGGAGGAGGTACCTGGGCTGCACAAGTGCCGTCGAGGTCCCGCACTCACGCGGAATGGAGCCAATGAGAGAAGAGAAGCAAGGAGGGAGACCTGGACCACAGGACAACCTGGAGTCCGCGACATGGTCTGCTGGAACCACAAGTGCTTCCCTCCTTCTGAAGCACAACCCACAGCAGGAGCGAGGCTATGAGAAGTCCTGAGCTTCAAAGTCTGAGGTTCAAATCCCACCTCTGCCTATGCCGTCTGTGTGACCCTGAGGCTGCTATTAAATTTCTGTAAACCTCAGTGTTTTCCTCAGAACATTCAGAGGATACAGGAAAAAGGGGCATTAGACAGACTTTTATTAGTTAAAAAAAGATCTATACTTCAAAGAGAATGAGGATAAGGAGAGTAACAGACAACTCAAGGCATGTGTCTTACTGATGAACAATTTATTGCTCCTTTGAAGAATTAGAGTTGGTTGGACTTGACAGTGAAAATGAATCAAACTATCTTTTGTGTTCCACGTTTCCTCTAAAAAGAAATCATTGCTTTGTTTTCCTTTATTCTTATCAGACGTATTTTTTAATGATTATTTATTTATTATATATACAGTATTCTGTCTGCATGCATGCCTGCAGGCCAGAAGAGGGCACCAGATCTCATTACAGATGGTTGTGAGCCACCATGTGGTTGCTGAGAATTGAACTCAGGACCTCTGGAAGAACAGGCAGTGCTCTTAACCTCTGAGCCATCCCCCCAGCCCTTATCAGATGTATGTAGTAAGACCTATCATGTGTGACACCATCACTTCCTGATATTAATGGGGTCAGCCAATCGTCAATCAGTTTGCTAGTGGCTAGGGGTTGAGGGAGACCATCTCCACGGCTTCTCCAAGATAGAAAATGATGGCGGGCTGATTCTCTTCAAGTTTGTTGTTGTTGATGGTGATGGTGGTGGTGTGTGTGTGTGCGTGTGTGCACACATGTGTGTGGTGTGTGGTGTGTGGTGTGTGCTACCATGTCAGGCTTTTACCCTGCTGGGGATCTGAACTCAGATACTCATGTTTATACAGCAAGCCCTTTACCCACTGAGCCAACTCCCTGGTCCTCTCTCTATCTCCATAGGCCTTTGTTTTTGTTTTGCCATATATCTGTAAATGAAACTATCTGATCTGGGCAGCTTTTCAAGAATTCAACCAAACGATGACATCTCTGAAGGCGTGACATGAGGGTCAGGGAGACTGTTGGCTGCTTGGCTTTGTTGTGTCTCCTCTTTAGACATCTTCTTCTCATTCCACATTAAAAACTGCATTTTCTTTTTCACAAGCTGGTAAAAATACCAACTAGTGAAGGTCAGCAAGAGCTAGTCTCCTGGCAAGTCCAGACTGGGATTTCTGTTCACAGCAGCGCACCCATGATTCTCTGCGGTCAGGCATCGGCCGCAGCAGCTTCTCCACAGAGGAAAGTCAGTGCTTAACGGTGATGGTTTTTATTTCGGTGAAGAAGTCGTATGAGTCCTTGGCTCCTTCTCTTCCTATTCCAGAGCTCTTCATGCCGCCGAAGGGCAGGTTCAGCTCCCTGATGAGCCAGCAGTTGGTCCAGACCAGACCCGACTGAAGCTTCTTAGCCACCCTGTGGGTGCGCCCCACATTGTTTGACCATACTGTGGCTGCCAGCCCGTACTTAACACTGTTAGCTCTTTTAATCACTTCCTCTTCGCTGTCAAAAGGGACCACACACGTCACGGGACCAAATATCTCTTCCTTCATGCAGCAGGACTCATCCTTAATATCCGTTATCACCGTGGGAAGCATGAAGTAGCCTGCCTGGTTCCTGAGGGGAAGACTCAGCTGATCCACACCCTCACCACACAGAATCTGGGCCCCCTCGGCACGAGCTTTCATTACATAACTTCTGACCTGAAGAGATTAAACCATAAACCATAAACCATAATTACAAACCTCTTACCATTTGACATTTTACACACATCAGCAGGAAAATCGGTATTTTTCGTAATTGAAAAGCAATATAAGGTCGGTGCTAAGGGATCTAGGGTTATCTAACTACCCAACCACAAAGCCTAAAGGCAGAGGAGCTCCCACCAGAGTATGTATATTTAGCCCTCATGCAAAAGACAGGGAGATTATTTCACACCTAAGTATAAGGCACTAATAGAAGTGATTTTATGTATTGTCACTTAATTCTTTCTATACTCTATCAACTATTTTTATCCCCAATTTGCTCACCATATCACTGTGCCTCAGAAAGTATATAGGGTTCATGCAGCTGATAAACAATAAAGCTTAATTCACATTTAGGCATATCCTATAATTAGGTACAAGATAGTGTGTGTGTGTGTGTGTGTGTGTGTGTGTGTGTGTGTGTGTGTGTGTGTGTGTTTTGCAGGGAATAGTAAGAAGTTGGAAATTGCCCTGTAATGGGATAACAATGCCCTTCCTAGACACCACAGGCTAACAAGTAAAATGTTTAGTGCCAGGAATGGATTACCTCTATTAGAGTTACTGGCCAGTGAGGTCTCACAAACCCCCAAATATTACAGACTATTGCCTTTGCTTTTGGTTGCCCTTTAGAATGTGGCCCTAGGGCCGGGCGGTGGTGGCGCACGCCTTTAATCCCAGCACTCGGGAGGCAGAGCCAGGTGGATCTCTGTGAGTTCGAGGCCAGCCTGGTCTCCAAAGCGAGTTCCAGGAAAGGCGCAAAGCTACACAGAGAAACCCTGTCTCGAAAAACCAAAAAAAAAAAAAAAAAAAAAAAAGAATGTGGCCCTATCACTGAAGACATCACATACTTGAGCCCTAGAACATGGAGAAATGAAGCTGGTTTTGATGTGGAAGCGTCATCCCTACTGGCTGGCTTTCACAGCCGTGAAAAGCGTTCTGCTCACTTCAAGAGGAGAAAAATAATCATTATTGTCCAGCTGTGACTCTGTAAGCTGCAATAACAACAACGCACTCAGACAGATGTGCCCATTGTGCAAGATTGGCAGAAATGTCATGGGAGTAGCCAACCATCTTCTGGTTGGTTTTAAGGTCTGCTCTACAAAAAGCAATCCTTCCTTACCTGGTACCAGTATCAGGGCCAAGAACATAGGCCCCATGGGAGAACCTACTATTATCATTCTGTTAAAGAAACCTAACACAGTATTCAACTGACTCTTAAGGATTTATTGTTATACCATAGATTAGTGCATCTCTCAACCCTCATCAGAAAAACACTTTTTTCCCCAGAAGATGCTAATTAATATACAGATCCACAACTGGTCATAGTGGCAGGAATATGAGACCAAAGAGTGCTCAGCCATACATGGGACATCTATACCACGGCCACCTCCTCAGGGATCTGTCCAGAGGAGGGGAAGGAAAGATAGCCAGAGCCAGCGGATGACTATGTGGAAACAGTGTTTTCCGGACACAACAAGGCGGCTGCACACATGAACTCCCAGCGACTGTGACAGCATACACAAGACCTGCACTAGCTCTAGCCAGTCAAAATTCCAGCATGAGGGGAGGAAGTGAGCACAAAGTCCCGCCCCTCACGGAGTAGCTATAGGTAATTGATAGGCGCTTGGAGAGGGAGAGGGAGCCTTCTTAAGGGTGCAGTCCCTGGTAGATTGACCACACAGGCAGGAGTACATATAGGCAGCACACTGACCTTGGTGAGATTTCGGTGGGTATGGGATGGGGATGGAACTTGGAGAAAATGGGGGGAAGGGTGAATATGATCAAAGTACAATGTATGAACTTCTCAAAGACATAATAAAAAGTATTTTAAAGAAACTGGAAAGTGAATGATATATAAGATTTAAAGGCCCAGATGCCTTCAGTATCTGAGCTTCCAGGAAAAAAAAAAGAAGGTCTCTAATTTCTAGTCTTATTAGTGATTATACTCTAAAAACAAATGTAGGTAATACAATATAGCTGATTATAATATAAAATAAATTATATCATAAGTTAGCCTAGTGACTCAGAGATAATGATGTGAGTGCTTTCTTGAAGAGAGGCCGGGTAATTGAGTTTATTTTCTATTTGGAGTTCATGCTGACTCATCCTAGCAAGAGAGATGTCCAGAACCCACCGGTTTAGACCCAATTCCAAGTACTTTAAGCCAAGTACCAAAAAGAAAAATTTCAAGGCAAATAGTTGGGTTTGTGGCATAAAGATCTGGAACCCAGAACACAGTGTTACAGTCACTGTCCCAGTGAACACTGTGCACTGCTGGGCTTCCTGAGATTTCCTAGTCTTGGGACACAATAGTGAATAAACTTGACCACTTTCTGCTCAAGGGAAGACAGTGAGTAAGAGAAGAAGTACAGAGTGTGTGTCGGCAGGGTTAAGAATCACGGAAAGAGGGCTGGAGAGATGGCTCAGTGGTTAAGGGCACTTGATGATCTTGACAAGGACCTGGGTTCAGTTCCCAGCACCCACATGATGGCTCACAAACATCATTAGTATCCAATACCCTCTTCTGAACTTCTCAGGTGACAGGCATGCACACGGTGCACAGACCCACATGCAGGCAAAACACTCATACACATAAAGCCAACCTACAAAAGAAATGTGGGAAAATAAGACACTGAAGCGTTAGGGGGCATTCTAGGGAGTGTAGTTTTATGAATGGACTGGAAAAGTCTCATTCAGAAGGCACCATTTGCTCTAAGGATGGAGAAGAGAAATTCAAGCAAGTGTCCTGGACCTCTGCTCTTGGTCCATGAGAAACCATTTTCCATTGCTGATAATTTCTCAGAAGTAATGTTTCAAAGCCTGATAAGTCCTCTGCGTGTGCTGAGCTTCTCTTTAAGACTTGATTTATTCTATTTACGTGTGTGTGTGTGTGTGTGTGTGTGTGTGTGTGTGTGTGTGTGTATACCCATGGATACCAGAAGGGGGTGCTGGATCCCTTAAAGCTGGAGTTACAGACATTTGGAGCTTCCCAATGTGGATGCTAGAATTCAAATTCAGACCTGAGCCACTTCTAGAATCCAAATCCCACAAAGGCACTTCTCCAGTGTCTCTCTCTCTCTGTCTCTCTTCTCTCTCTCTCTCTCTCTCTCTCTCTCTCTCTCTCTCTCTCTCTCTCTCTCTCTCTCTCTCTCTGTGTCTGTCTGTCTGTCTCCCCTCCCTCCTGCCCTGTGTCTTTCTTCTTCCTTCCCTTTCCTGCTCTTGGTTTTTTGAGACAGGGTTTCACTATGTAGCTCTGGCTGTCCTGGAACTCACTCTGTAGACCAGGCTGGACTGGAACTCACAGAGATCCACCTGCCTCTGACTCTTGAGTGCTGGGATTAAAGATGTGTGCCACCCCTGCCCAGCCTCTGAGTTTCTCTTTAAATAAGAACTTCCTGGAATGTACACGGCAGAGATTACTTACTTTCTCCAAATGTGCTTTACTTATCAAAGCACCCATGTTGGCTGATGGGTCAGAAGGTATTCCAACTTTCCACTTCCTGGAAGCTTCTACAAATTTCTTGAGAAATTCACTATAGATGCTCCTCTGGACAAAGATTCTGCTGGTACAGAGGCAGATCTCCCCCTGCCAAGAGGGAAGACAGTGATAAACTGGGACATTCTTCTTCACGGATAGATGCCCCATGTTTTTGATCACCTGCCATGCATCAGGCAGCGGTCCAGACAATAAGATCCAGCTGTCAGCAGGACTAGTCCCTACCACGTGGAACACATAATCTCACAGGAAGACAGACAAAAGCACAAATAAACATCCACTACGTGATACGACTTCAGAGACTCATCCAAACAATAGAAGAACATTAGGCAAATGATAAAATTAGGAATCTCAGTGTAAGGACTGGTGAGCGGCCCTTACAGAGCAGATATTTGAAGGGACTCTTGGTTGCTAGGAAGGGGTTGGATAGGAAGGGCTGGGAGGAGAGAGGTTCCAGCGGTAAGAGCCGGAGCCTACTATGGGACTGAGGCTGGCGTAGGTGGCAAGACAAGGAGGTGAGTGGGTGGGCTGAGGACGTGAGCCAAGGCGGCAAAAGGCAGTGATGGAAAGAAGGTGGGACTGAGAGGGCCGCAGGTGGACACTCTCAAGGGCTCAGAAGGACTTTGCTTCACTCTCAGCATCATGGAAAGGAAGCAACAGAGTGATACGATCAGATTTACACTGTGTTGATGGGTGTGTGGTGCGTGTGTATGTGTGTGATATGTGGATACATGTGTGTGCATGCATGTGCATGTGTTGTGAATATGTGTGCATGTGTGTATGTATATGCGTATGCGTGTGTTTGTGTGGTGTGTATGTGGCGTGAGTGTGTGCATGTGTGCATGCATGTGTGTGAAAGCATGTGTGGTGTGTGTGTACATGTGGAAGCCAGAGAACAACCTCAGAACAACCTCCAGAGCAGTTCACCTTGAGTTTTCTATTTGTTGTTGCTTGTTTTTTATTTGTTTGTTTGTTTTGTTTTTTGTAACAGGGTCTTCTCAGTGGCCTAGAGCTCTCTGAGTAGGCCAGGCTGACTGGCCCCTGAGCCAGAGGACGCATCCATCTTCATCTCTCCTCAGTCCTACGACTACGGTGTGTGGGTTCTAGGGCCTGAACTCAGGCTCCCAAACTTGCATGGTAAGCACTTTACCAGCTGAACTATCTCCCCCGACCCCGAGATTTACATTTCTAGGTGATCATTCACAAAGCTGTGTGGAAAACAAAAATGGAAAGAAATTAGAGTGAGGAATGAAGGAAAATATTCCAAGAGCTCAAATAAATGTAGGTAGCTTGTACTGGGAGGTACCAATGGAAGAGGAAATATTATTTCACTGAATTCAAGATTCTTAAAGGGTTGTAGGACCCAAAAAGTGTAGGAGACCTGCATGGATACACCAGAAAGGTGATGTTTTGGAATACGTGTTAAACACAGAACCAAGAAAATCCGTTTATAGATCAGACATAGGTACAAGGCTCAGAGCAAGAACAGGGCTGTCCAAGCTTTGGGCTCTGCTTTTCTGTGGAAGGGCAAACAGGAGGCAAAGGGAAGAGTCATTTTTCCAGTGGGTGGAGAGAGATCAAGAGTTCTTCTGTGGGCATGTTAAGTTCCGATGCCCACTAGACATCTAAATAGAGATGCTGAGTGTTCAGAGGAAAGGTCCTGGTAGGTTTTGGAAAGAAAAACAATCCTGTCATTTAAACATAACATGAAATGGTTTACAAACCACATCTGAACACTTCAAAGCAAAATGTATGAAAGTATATGAATGCATAAATATTAATAACAGTTTTCATCACGTTTACATTTGGTGTTCACAACAATCCCAGGGAACAGAATGCTTCTAATTATCTTGGTATTTGCACAAAGGTTTATTGTCCAAATGAAGCAGCTAATGTTCCGAAATAACGAATTCTTTTTCCAACAGGACCACTATCAGAACCATCTGCCTATGTAGCTTGGAAGATGGTCAAACACCTGTTGGATTCATTTGCATAAGTTCCCTATGCAAAAGGCGGGCATGGTGGGGAGACATGCGTTTTACCAAGTTTCCTATCATTTAGTGATGGGAAAATGTAGGTTACCCGAGATCCCAGAAAGGACCACTGCAAAGGGAGAGAGCAAGGAAAGAACTCATTCCCTGAATCTCTATGCCATGCCGGGCACTGATTTGGATACTTTCTCTATAAAAGCTCTGCAGTGTGTTAGTATTCTCAGTTCACAGTTAGGAAACAGAGTTTTGAATTAAAATATACCCAAGGTCACACTGAGAGTTTACCCCTCCCTCCCCTGAAGCCAATTATCTTCAATTAAGGGAGAAATATGCTCTGCCTGGAACTCGTCCATCAGCTAAAGCAAATAAAGCAAGCTATTATAGTTTGCTTAAAATCCATCTGCTGTTGCCTTGGGTTGACCATATCTTTTTTCTCACTGATGTCTTAAAACACCCGTCTCACCCAAAGAAAGGTTCAGTGGGCCAACCTGAATCCTAAAAGGATCCTGGTAGATGAGCAGCCTCAGTCTGTGTGTCCTTGCTTAGCATGTGGCTCCCTTATACTTCGTCTCAACTTGATATCCCTCATCTCACTTTGTCCCTTTCTCATTGTCTTGAAACCCTTGATCCACTACTTTAATTGTTTACTTGATCAAATCATTTGTGTTATAACATCCAACTGTCTACCAATACCCAAACATTGTATTTCTAGCCATCTTCTTTGGAAATTATGGTAAAGGAAATAACTATCATTACAATTATTATGAAAATATTAATTGAAAGTCATGTTTTTCACTGAGCATTCCTAGAATCTCTTTGGAGGGTAGCATGATTCAAACGATTGTAAAGGTAAAGAAATGGAGGCCTCGTTTCCACCTGGGGGAAGCTGTTGTCCAATTCATCTGGTCTAGTGTTCCTACTTCTCTGGGAGGCTGAAACTTTGAAGAACCTGACAAAAATAACAGAGCCCTTGGGAATATCTGTGATGTAATAATAAAAGTTGAAAAGATGTCCTGAAGTCCTCTGGCTCTCTGAGCTCAGAAACTTGCTTTGGAATGTCACAGGGAATGGGAACTCAGAGTGTAAAGGTATCAGGCATACTTTGGGGAGGGAAGAAAATCTACTGGTAACAAGACATGTGGCCGCAAAGAAGACACAGGCAGCTGGCTGTGTGAATAAAGAAAAATCGGTCATTCTACCTGTGGCAGCAAAATCGGTCATTCTACCTGTGGCTGGTACCTGATGAAAGTTACGTGACTCAAGATGAGGAACTTGACAAAAAGAAGCCGTGAGTGTCCTAGGCCACTCCTGGGTATTAGAATAACGCTCTAACTGATCCTACTTTCAGAAAAAACAAAATGACAGGATCATCGCCAAACCCTCTGGACTTTGCACTGTGATGAAATAAATCCAATCCGACAGGGCCTTAGTAAGCAGGACTCATACCTGGTTAGCAAAGCTGGACCTAACAGTTGCTGGGATACACTCCTCCAGATTGGCATCCTCAAAGATGATGGCAGGATTCTTGCCTCCCAGCTCCAGGGAGAGCTTCTTGCAGTGGGGGGCACTTAGCTGGGTAATCCGCTCAGCTGTGGGCTGGCTCCCAGTGAAGGAAATCAGGGGTACCTCTGGGTGGGATACCAGGGCCTCACCAACCCTGGGCCCGGTTCCAAACACAATGTTGATCACACCTGGTGGAACACCTGGATGGAAAATAAAACAGTAATTCTCCTAGGTTTATTGAGGATTCCTGAAGTGGCGTGGAGGCTCTCCTTTGGGAGTCCAAAAGCTGGCATGTGGGGAGAGGGTGGGGATGGTGGGTTTGACAGCACCTGGAGATTTTACGACTAGCTCCAGTTTAATAGCAAAGGCAATTCAACAGAGTCATCTCTGCTTATAGAATCCACCTGCTGGGGTTTCTCTGGGTGCTCCGGTCTGGAAAGATGCAGGGTAAAGGACATTCTGAGAAACTCATAGTATAATATGGGCCAAGCTTTTGGGGCTGGTGCACAAGTACTACCAAACAATCTCAACCTCGTGTGGAACAGGGGATGGTTCCAACTTGATACCCAGAAGTGGCGAAGCAGGGTGACAGTGTTAAGTAAACGGGTGTGTGGACCTGCAGAGATGTGAAGAGATCAACTATCTTGGCCCAGAGAGGCAGGAGGAGGCATCCCAGAGGGGCTCATTTTTGACTTCGAGGTCCTGTGCCCATGATTACCTACAGCTTCACCACGACCTAAAATCATGCAACAAATACCAAGAACATCCAAAAACAGGTGCCTCAATATTTTCTACTGCATGACCCTTTAGACTTAAATTTACATGTATCCATTTCCATCTTTTCAGGATTAAATTCTTGAGGGGGGGAGGTGCTGTGCATGTGCCTGAGTGTGCATTTATGTGGATGTGTGTGTAAAGGCCAGAAGTCAACCTCACTGTCGTTCCTCAGAAGCCATCCTTTTAGAGACAGAGTCTCTCACTAGCTTGGATCTTCCGGCAGAGGCTAGAGTGGTTGCCTAGTGACCATCCGGGACTGGCTTGCCTGCATCCCCAGTACCAGGATTCCAAGTGTGTACCGCCGCCGCCACACCTGGCTTTTTCACATGGGTTCTGCAGGCCGAATTCAGAGCCTCATACTGTGCAATAGGCACTAGAGTGACTAAGTCATCTCCTCACCCATGAATTTCCTCACTTCCTTATGCCTGCCCTCCACCAAGTTGCTGGCTAGGATAGGGCAGAACACTATCTGAATTTTGTTCTCCATTGTGTCCCCTGGACCACCAGTAAATGATGATATTTATCAGCTGCTTAGTAATGTCAGCTATTGTTATTAGTAATCTGGAGTCATCCTCTATTATCTATGGACTTATTTTCTACGGTTTCAGTTGTGGTCCAAAGTCACTTATGGTCTGAAATATTTGTCTTTACATTTAGAGAAAAAGCACTCTCACATCGATTTTATTACAGTGTGTTGTCATACTTTTTCTGCTTTATTGTTAATCTCTCCTTGTGCCTAATATATAAATTAAACTTTACCATAGGTCTATACGTATATAAAAACAAGATGCATAGAGAGATCAATGCCATCCACAGTTCCAGGTGTCCACTCAAGATCTGGAAACACATCTCTCACTTATCACAACCCTTTAAGGTGTTTACTATTATTAGCTTGCTTTACTGGTGAGAAGTTTGGTAAAGTTAAGCAATAATTGGTAATCAGTAAAGCTGGTCAGAGCAGGTTAACAAATGCTAGTGAATGGGAGTGAGCCGACCAGTGTTCAGTATTCAGTATCCAACCGGAAACAGATTGTGAATTGGAGAAGCTGTCCATGTTCGAGTTGTGTTGGTATCTGGGGGCTTCTTAAGCCTTGCGTGAGGTGGCTGGATTCAGTCCCTCTCTTTCCTCGGGTGACTATAGCAGGTGTGGAAATCCTGCATGAGACACTCAAGGGACAGCCTGGAAGCTTCTGTCTCCTCTGCTTGCCCCAGGTTAGATATTCTCTTCTCAGCTCAAATCTTCAAGATGCCTTCCCCAGGCATCTCTCTTAGTTCAAAGCCAATCTTCAGGAATGTGATCTTCATGCATAAATAATACTTTCACATTAATGATCTAAGATTATCCAGAACTCCCTTCCACAGAGCCACAGCATAGGCCTGGTCACTTTGAGGGGATGGTGAAGATCCCCACCCACCCACCCACCTCACACACAGAAGACCCCTTAAGGAGACAGGTAGGAAAGTCAATGCTGTGATGTATCTGTCAGAATCTTACTTCTAAGCACTCTGTGTTTAGGTCAACCTTGATTCAGAGGTCATAACTAGAGCAGCGCTGTGTACCATGTGGAAGAGCCAAGAAGAGTCTAGAAGAAGAGTCATTGATAGGACAAAATAAGGAGGAGTTTCCCATCTGTGGATGAGGCCCTGCAGCTCCAAATAGAGGACTACCTTAGGGTAGATGGGAAAGCAAGTTTATAAGGGAGGCTGCTAATAAACCCTCAAAGGCAAAAATGACCTGAGTCATGTCTAATGTTTACTATGATGTTTTAGCAGAGGCTGAGAGAAAACACAGGAACACCATGTATATCTCACCACGGGACAATGAGCTCATTCCACAGGCTGACTGATTTCCACACACATTAGCATTCTGATTGTTTGCCTGAGGTCTGCTGTTAATGTAGTAAGAGGCAGCAGCTTGTATGATTTCTCAGGGTCCTCTGCCCCTTGAGCCAGACAGTAACACGATTTTCGTACAGATATCTGCCCTCTAAACTCTTAAGTGATTCTGGTTGCCAGAGAAGAAAAACAATTTAGTTGACAAACAGCAATTGCAAAATAAAGACTGGGGTAAGTGGCTAGAAGAAAAGTCAGAAACACATGGACACAAGAATGAAGCCTTTCAAGGCTTGACGAAGAGGCACAGCCCCTCTCCTGACCCACTCTAAGAACCTGTAGTCACCAAGCTGGCAGGACACGGTTTGTGCCCATGTGCACACCAAAGGCTTCATTTTGCAAAGAATGGAATTAGAAGGGGGTCTGTTTATAAGGAAGTTTAGGCACATTCTGGGAAATGGGAGAGGTAGGCATGGTCTCCATCTACTAGGGGCCTAGAGCATCTGTATAGGTCAATCCAAAGACTGCTTAGAAGGCCTCATCCCTAGGGCTACAAGGACCAGTGCCATTTTCCAAAACAAGCCCAGATTTAACCTATCATCAAAATCCTAAAGAACTAGCTAAACTTCACTGGAAGCTAATGTGCATGCTTTTGCTTCTGAAGTACCCAGAAGGAGCAAATGGGGAAGAAGGGAGGGAGGGAGAAAGGGAAGGAGGGAGGGAGGGGGGGAGGGATGGAGGGAAAGAGAAATAGGCTTCTACTTGCTGCCCATTCTATGGAGTAAGGAGAGCCCAACTGTGGCTTCTCCATGCCAAAAGGCAATTAAGCACATCATGCGTTAACACAGACAGAAGGGTGATAACTGTCCCCACCACCCAGGCATCATTCCCATCCTAGCTGAAGGTTTCACAAGATGAGGATCGTAACAGAAAGAGGCTTTTCAAAGGGTGCTTGCTGGGATTTAAATACCAGGACAATGTCAGGCTTCCCCATGCATAATTATATCCCAAACGAAACCAGGAAGGCAGCCTAAGTGTAGACACTAAATCGTTAGCTGAAAGAGAATGAGCAGCAAATGGGTGGATGCTGATAAGAGGCCACGGCTTATCCATTTCTGCCCCAAATATGGGGAAACTAGAAGATGTATATTAAATCCCTTGAAAATGGCTGAATGGACTATGAATTGTTCAGCTACATAAACTCTAGCAATAGCCTACTTCCAAGATTGCCTAGTAGCTCAAGGTTAAATTTAAAGTGGCGGTTGATAACAATAATTTGAACTATGTTTTTAGGTCTCTCTAAGCCTGAAATATTTACTGCTCAGCCTTCACCCCATGGGGTGATGCTATTCTTCAATGGCATCCTGCTGGAATTAAAGAGGAAAGGAAGGAACAGGAGAAGAAAAACCCTGCTGTGGATGAAGGCGTGGCCAGAAAGTATCAGGCTTACAAAATGAAAAGACAGCACTGGAATCAACGCCGAGTGAAGGCTGCTTCTAGCCCTGTGCCTCCTCCCTGTCCCCACACCCCGTTACCTGCTTTATCCATGAGTTTACACAACATCCACGCAGTCACAGATGTCAGTTCGCTGGGCTTGGCTATCACAGTATTCCCAGCAGCGATGGCCGGGGCGATCTTCCAGGTCAGCAGGTAAAGGGGCAAATTCCAAGGGCTGATCAAACCAGCTAAGGGACAAGAACAGAAGCAGGGCCCTGGTGACACGGCCTCAGAGACAGACCAGCTGGGTGGCGTTTTCTAGCAGACTTCTCTGCTGCACAGACAACCCAAACATTACTTATTGGTAGCCGGCTTCAGAAAAGTTATTCTAGAATACTTAGAAGAAATTCCCTCCTTACAAGAGCAAAGTCAATACCCTGACCATCCTCTTGGCGAACCACAATTATAATTAGGAACCACAGCAATACAAGCTCCGGGCCTAAAGGCTGTTGACAGTTTGCCAATATGTTCTGAACAGAATGCATATTGGAATCTGTAGACTGATCTTTACTCTTTAAAGAAAGCCCTCTCCCGGTGCCACATTAAGAGGCTAGGATGGTGTTTCCTGACGGGCTTCCCCACCTCTGTCTCTAATCTGCTGTCACTGAGACCTTAAAGTTCAAACTATGTGTGCAACAGGCACAAAGTGATTCGGAATGCCCCTCTAGGGGACGGTGACGATGATGGACTCTGACACACACACTGTGAAACTCACCCTGGCAACACAGATGGTCTTAAAATCAAATTTCTGTCTATATTCCCAACTACATTCTGACTGTGTAGGTTTGCTGGAGGACACACACCTAACTTCTAGCAGGTATGTCCAGTCCTCTGACTTTGTGACACAATGTTGTCAAGTCCATCAAGTTCACGCTCAAGAACCATGCACTCAGTTAACTTTAAACATGGCCCAAAGACTCTCATGATAATTTAAATAATTTATAATCTTGTGCATTAGGTCCCATTCACAGCTATCTCGAGTCCCAGGTCAGGCATGACTGAATGTATCTCTATGCACTATTCTTAAACTGTTCAGTTTCCATCCATAGCCTGCACAGAAAGGTCTCCCTTATGAATTAAAAAATGCTGTGAGTTTGAAGCTAGCTTGGTCTATAGACTGAGTTTCAGGACAGCCAGAGATATACAGAGAAACCTTGTCTTGAAACCCCCCCCCAAAAAAAAACCACTTTATTTTATACTTTGTCCTGTAGAAGTAAGTATATGTAATAGCACTAAACCTCTCATAGAAAATTCTGTTCTTTAAGAGTAACAAGAATGTATTTGCAACAAAATATGTTCATATGCTTCTTAGTAGGAGATTAAAGCTTCCCACAATGCCTTGGGAAATGATTTCTAGAGGGTTCAGGGAATCAAGACAGTGAAATGTTTCCCTTTTTGTTGTTCTGGTATTTGTAGCTAGTTAAGCATGGAGTTTCTTCTCGGGGAAACAGTGACATCTGCTGATTATACTTGGTCACTTCAGACATTTACATCAAAGGGCAAAATAACTTATTTGCCAGACGACTGGCATTACTTAGAGCACATACTTGTTTATTTACTGTGTTGTTGTTGTTGTTGTTTTTAAGACAGGGTCTTGTCCAGGCTAACCCCAAACTCACTGTGTAGCCAAGGATAACCTTGTAATTCTGATCTCCCTGCCTGCCCTGTCCAAGTGCTAAGAACGAGCCAGCACATCCAGCTGAACTACATACTTATTAATTTACTCAAATTTCCCATATCATTGAATCCTATAAAAAGAAAAGAGAGCCGGGCGGTGGTGGCGCACGCCTTTAATCCCAGCACTCGGGAGGCAGAGGCAGGCGGATCTCTGTGAGTTCGAGGCCAGCCTGGTCTCCAAAGCGAGTTCCAGGAAAGGCGCAAAGCTACACAGAGAAACCCTGTCTCAAAAAAAAAAAAAAAGAAAAGAGAACTAGTGTCCCGGCTTTTCAGAATACTGAAGCGTGAAGAAGATGAAATCCTGAAGTCCAAGCAGACACTGTCCGGACTTCTTGTTTTCTTATTTTAATTATAAGCAACAAAGCGCTCCTCACATCATCCCCTACCCCTGTGATCTTTCAAGACAGAGTTTCTGGAAAAGGCAGAGAATTTGATACAATGGGAATGAACTAGAAATCATTTTTAAAGGCAATACATTTTCAACAAAAGGAGAAAAATCAACACCCTGTCCCTAGTCAGCACTTGTCCAGAATTTTCTGGACACTCGGATACAGGTTTTCCTGGGACACCACCTACCGATTCCCATGGGGGTGCGAACGGTGTAGTGCATGCAGCTCAGGTGGTCCATTTGTGTGCACTCCGTCACGTGGTGCAGGATGGAGGAAGCAAAGAACCGGAAGTTCTGAGCAGCCCGAGGAATGTCCATGGTCCTGGCCAGTGTGAGGGTTTTCCCTGTAGGAAGCGAACAACAGAAAATGCTGCCCCTGTGTTTCCCATGGAGTTAGTGCTGACCTCTGTTGTGTGTCGTCTATCACCACGCTCATTCCCAGCCCACGGGAGGCACTTCTTCACCACACAGAGTTGATGCTGGCTGGATCAAGCGATGAAATATTTAGGTGTGAGGTTATAGAATGAAGTGGCCTAAAATAGAGCCAGAACATCTTTGCTCTGTGAACTCCTCCTAGCTTTCATCACGAAGCTCCCAGACGCCACCATGTCACCCACACGGGCTCTGGTGTGTTAGCCGCTTCAAAATGATGGGGTTGAAATAGCCAGGGTTAAAACAGCTGAATGTGCACATCACACCGAAACGGGTGAGGTGTCTTAAACGTCCTCCAAACACACAGAGGAGTTATCCAAAGGGCTAGTGAGAACCTAACTGCAGGATGCTGGTGTCTGGACTGGGCAGCGGGGAGTCTACTTGAACTTCTCTCAGGTGCCCTTTAGTGGCGAAATGAGACGGACTGACCCCAGAACAGGAGCAAAAGAAACTTTTTCCCCTGTGTGTGTGTGTGTGTGTGTGTGTGTGTGTGTGTGTGTGTGTGTGTCTGTGTGTGTGTGTGTGTAGTCCAGTTATCACTATATAGCCCCAGGGGGCTAGGAACTCACAATCCCCCTGCCTCAGCCTCCCAAGGGCTATGATCACGAGTGTGCACCACCACACTGACCTTGAAGAAGCCTGCCCCTTCCAAGGGCCTGTCAGCTGCTTCCTAACTTAAGGTTGGCTTTATGGCAGATACGTTATAACACCCCACGGCTCTCCTTAAAAGACATTATGATATTTATATATTCAATCCATCCCCACGCCCTTTGGGAAGGAGTGAAAGCTGGGCGTAGAATACTGACAACCCACCAGAAAACTAGCCGCTCTTCAAATTGTCTTTACTTGGGGAGCCTCTGAACAGGACAGAGAGATGGCCTGGCCACCGCTAGCTCCTCCTGTCCCTCCGTAGCCAGACTCTGCTGTGGATCCTAGCAGCTCCTCCACTAAATTGGCAGCATGCACTCCCACATCATTTAGCTTTGGGTTTAGTCACTGACTTGTTTCAATGGGGCCGAGCGCGCCGGCCACAAAACTCGGCCTTCTGCATCCTGCACATTTTTGCCTCTATCTCTACTGTCTTGATAAGCAAGGATGTAGGCCAGCTTGACACCTCAGCCAGGATGGTCTGACTAACTTGCCCTGAGTGTGATCCATTCTACCAAAGGCACGAGATTCGCTGACAAACTAGAATGGGGGTGCTAGCTGCCAATGTCTAAGTACGTACTGCAGTTTTCATAAGCATTTAGTAAGACACGCCTGTACTCAAGCCCAATCACTGTCGGTCAAAGAGCTTGGAAGGCAGACAAATCTTGCCAGGGACCCCCCTCACCTTGGTCTTTAGATTCAGCCTGGGCTAACTCCTCCAGGGACTGCTCCACCAAATCAGCCAGTCGGTTCAGGACCAGAGAACGTTCCTGGGGGCTCCGGGACGACCAGGCAGGGAAGGCCTCTCTGGCAGCCTCCACCGCAGCTTCAATCTTTGAGGAGCCAACCGGAGATGGTTACTTAGTACCACTGTTCCCAAGGGGGTGGCAGCATCCAGAATCCATGGCTCCCTTCATACCTGATGGTCATTCTGTCCAATTTCAGTAATCCAACATATCCTAGTGCTAAACTACACTCAGACAACACAGACGTTTATGTAATCAACACACAGCATAAAAAAAAAAAGCAAAGGAAGGGTCATTTGCTCTCTCCCTCCCGCGGTCCTCAGGCTAATCTGACCATCTGAGTTCTGAGTCAGTGCCACCATGGGCTCCCGGTGGTCAGCAGCTGACCATGTGAAACCATGTGCCAAAGCCTCCCCTCCCGTCTGCTGACTCCCTTAGGGATTTAGTCGCAGAGCCAGCAGCGGGCCGGCTCACACGCCCTGGCACAGGCACTGGAACAGACTCTAGCAAGAACTGCTAGAAGCCCAAAGACAAACCCAAGGGTGGCCCCAGCTCCTGTGAACAAAGCAGCCCAGGTGGTACCAGGGATGGAATGGAGGACCGCAGGAGTGTCTGCCCAGCTGGTCACCTGGCTTCTCTGATGGGGAGCAGGCAGAACGACCGTGGACCTAGGGAAGATACCTGCCCATCACAGAGCTGACACATGACTCTGATCTGCCCCATATGAAGAAACTACAGCAGTCAACAGCAAAGGCACCGGCAATTTAATTGGGAAGTGGGCAAAGGATGTGAGCGAATACTTCACAGAAGACGTATGCCCAAGATAAATAAAGGCATGAAAATGTGTCCAGTTGGTAGCCATAGGGAACTGTGCATGAAGTCAGCTTCAAGGATCAAAAGATTCTGGACTGGGGGCTGGAGACATGGCTCAGAGGTTAAGAGCACTGCTTGCTCTCCCAAAGGTCCTGAGTTCAATTCCCAGCCACCACATGGTGACTCACAACCATCTGTAAAGAGATCTGGCGCCTTCTTCTGGCCTGCAGGGATATGTGCAGACAGAACACTGTATACATAATCATAGATAAATCAATCTTTAAAAAAAAAAGTTTCTGGACTGTGAGTGTGGCTCGGTGGTACAGCATTTTCCTAGCATACCCAATGCCCTTGGTTTGACCCCCCCAAAAAAACCACGAAAAGGGAGGGGGCAGGGAACAAAACAAAACAGTGGCAGTATCAAATGCTGGGGAGGAAGCTGAAAAAAGAGCCCTGTCGTCCACTGCTGGTGGGAATGAGGACAGGCACTCAGAAAGAACAGGACAGTGCCCAAACTCTTAGTCAGGCAGCCACCTCGCCAGTCAGGAACACCCTCCTGCGCTTTATCCCAGGGAAATGAGTACTTATTTTCATGCAAAAAAAAAAAACCAAAACAAACAAAAAAAAAACCAAGTGTGCAGGAGCGTTTATAGTAGTGATAGCCACAGTCGCCCCAAACTGCAAGCGACCAGCTCTAGTCATCAACTGTGGCACATCCATGCTGGCTGCACTCTTCTCTGCATTAAAAGGAGCAAGCTGCTGCTTCAGGCAACGTCCCTGAGGGGTCTGCAGAGCAAAGCTGAATGACAGAAGGGAGACTCGCCGCCTTCACCAAGGCAGCTTTTCATTTTACAGGTCAAGCAATAATAACCCAGAGGCCTAAGGCAGCCAGAAGAATGGGGATCTAGGCGAGGTTAAGGCTGTGTCACAAAGGGATTGAGCGGCAGCCACTGTCTCACACGGCATGTAGAGCTAAGGTAGGTCAGATGCTCAAGCTTCCAATGCAGAGTTAAATGTGTAGACAGGAGCTGGGGGCGGGGAGAAGAGCATGTGCCATCTCTACCAAGGTATCTAAAATTCAGCCATCGAGTCACTGGGAAGAAGTGATGTTAATTTTAAAAGATGAGGATTTTCAATCATTTCCCAAAGAGTACACTGTTTTGGATCTAGCATGGGAAAGGAAATTTGTCTAGACGGGTCGAAGCCCTAAAGCTCTTAACTCCGTGCTAACAGTGTGTGGAGTCTAACGTTCTCCATGTGATCGCATCCTAGGTCTGTTACTGGCACTTGGAGTGACTAACTCCATCAATCACTCACTGACTAACTTGCATATCTGAAGGAATATAACCAAAAGCACAAAGTACTTAATCCTTCTTAAAACTCTACATCGGAGTACTGTGCGCTGTTCTGTAGGAGGAAGGCTGAGACACAGAAAGAGCATGCCACTTGCCAGAGGTTACAGTTACTAAGTCGTAGCGTCGGGTCAAACCCAATCTCTGTGGGTCCCAAGACCGTTAACTGACATGCAGTAGCACTGTGGTTCTCAACCTTCCTAATGCTGCATAAATGTTTTTTTTTTTTTTTTTTGCTACTTCATAACTGTAACTTGGCTACTGTTATGAATCGTAATGTAAATATCTGATAGGCAGGATATCTGATATGAGAGCCCTGAGCTCAACTCCCACGGGCTGAGAACCATTTCTGTGGCATAACAAGAGGCCGATGCTGGAAAGGCAGCAGCGTGGAGCTCGGAAGGATAAATACATGAGAACAGATATGCCCTCTTGTGGTCAAAATGTGAAGTACACAGAACGCATCTGCCAGTGTTTTTCTGACCTGCTCCTGTTTTCACATGAAGCCCACAGGCTACATCTCACTTTGCTCTTTTCTCACACACACACATAAACACACACACACACAGACACACACACACACACACACACACACACACACACACACACACACACACACACACACACACACTTTTGCACGTATCTCGTGAAGTCACCAAAGACACAGCATTTGTGGAACACAGAATACTTGTAAACTGGATTGCTGTATGCATTATGGTAGTAGGAAGTAAAATAGCTGTTTTGTTCTTCTTCCTGAAGAAGCGTGAGCCATTCCCACACTCCACCTGCGTTTGGTAGTTTTGTTGTTTTTAACATCATTTTGGAAAGACCATGAGACTGGGGAGAGGGGAGAAGGCAGGGCTAGATTTCTCACGTGGCTGTTTGCTGTCACGGGAAGCAAACAAAATTGTCAGTTACAATTTAACTAATAAGTTATCCAATATATGTAAACTTTAGCACAGAAGTCTAAAGTTATACTTTTCCTCCAGAGGACAGATTTAAAGTTTAACAATGAAGAAAAAAAGCTGAATCTTTGAAGAAAAAAAACTTTGCATATAGGAAGGCTGAAATTATATTATAATCTGGTTCTTTGTGTCTGAAAAGAACAAACAGTATTCACTTGATAACTATACATATATCAGCCACACTTATCACACTAGATATTTTTTATTCTCAGTGCTATAATTCATAACTGATCAAACGTATTTCAGGTATTTTACCAAATTCACCAAGGGAATTTAATTCTTCATAACTAAAAAAGAAAGGGAAAGAGAAAGGAGAGGAAGAGAAAGGAATAGGAACCATTAAATATTTTTTAAACAATTATAAAGTATAATGAAACAAAACCCACTAGACTTTAACTTTCAGCTTCATTATTCAAACAGCTGGTTTGGTTTCACTGGGTACTTTTGGAGATATGAGGAATCAGTAGATGATGGTCTAAAATAAAGTCCTGGGCTTTTTATGTTGTTCTCAACTTAAGTTTTTAAAACTTATTTTTATAAATCCATGGAGCTAGTGGACACTTTGTAGAGAAAAGGATGCATTTAACATGGTGATAGTTCTTATGAATAATACTTTTTACGAGACACCTATTACAGCCTGTCTGAGAATTACAAAAATTAAAACCAACTGTGCCCAGAGCTGTTAAGCTGGCAAATGACAACTAACTTTCTTCTGTCCATAGTAAGCTGAGAGCCGTTCTGGCTCATGCTTGTCCAGTTGTAACATAATTTACCTTATGAAATTCTACATTTTCCTTCACTCCCCTCTTTTCTTTTAGAAAATAGTTTCCCACAATCTGTCAATACAGTAAATGCATTTCAGTTTTCTAAGTGAATAATATACTCACTTCTTCTTTTCCACTATTTGGTACTTTGCAATAGACTTCTCCTGTTGACGGATCGTACGAATCTATATATGAGTTACAGGGTAAAAACTGTCCACCTATGAAGTTTTCCAACATCAAAAGTTCCTTTTTTCCCGCAGCCATGTTAAGGAGAATGCTCTTCACCCTCTGTGGTAGCAGCTCACTGTGACTGTCCTCGGGACTTTGTTCTGATACCCTCCCCCAACCCGTGTCCTCATTTGCATATCATGGACCAGGAGGCCCTTGGCTCTCCAGAACATTCCAGATTCCAAACTCAGGAGAGTTCTTGAGGGCAACTGTTGGCCCATTCTGAGAAGTGGATAATGTGTTAAACTGACATCGTTATACCCTCACAGTCTCTCCAGATCAGCTCACATCAACGGTGCCTATGTAGATGATTCCATCGGAGTCACACAGTGAGTGGGCACTGTTTAAACATTAAGTGCAAATCACAAAGGAAGCTGGTTCCACAGAATCATTATCTGTGACGTGATTCTCATTATTTCCCCTTTTTTTGGAGAAGAAACAGAGCCTCTGAGAGCTCAGACAGTGTCCAGGGTCACCCATGAGCAAGGGACAAACCTTTTGTCTTCACTTTAACCACTGCCTCCCCATGACTTTGACCCTGCAGACAGACGGAGGGCAGAATCCCTGTGTCCACTGCTCATCTTTATCTGTTTTCATCTCGGCTGCCTTCTCCCTCAGATGTGTCCTCCATCCCGAACCAGGGCTGCAGTGACGGATCACATATCCTAGACATGCCATGAAAATGAAGATACAGGCCAAAAATGTATACGGCCTACACAGCAAACCATAGACTCTTGTCTAGTTCTACAAATTGGCAAGATAAATGAACTCAGCAGAAAAGACAGGTGAAGTCTGTAATAAAGGCAATTTATATCTGAGAGAAGAGTTGGCCACACATGTATTAATAGATTAATAGACGGACTCATTGTTAATCATGAGTTGGGACACACAGAAAGGCTCCTGCTGTGGGATGTCATTCTGTATGCTGTGAGTGTGTGTTGCTCTGATTGGTTGATAAATAAAGCTGTTTGGCCCATGGTGAGGGAGAACGGGGTTAGGTGGGACATTCTCACTGGAGAGGAGGAAGGAGAAAGGCAGAACAGAGAGACGCTGCTAGCCGTCGCCAGAAGAAGCAAGATGTAAAGTGCCGGTAAGCCACAAGCCACGTGGCAGAGTATAGATTTATAGAAATGGGTTAATTTAAGATGTAAGAGCTAGCTAGTGAGAAACCTGAGCCATTAGGCCATACAATTCATAATTAATATAAGCCTCTGTGTGTTTATTTGGGTCTAAATGGCTGCAGGCCCAGGTGGGACTGGTGTAGTCATAGTTTTCCTGTGTCCCACCCAGTTTCGTAGCCTCTCGGACTCAATTAAACACACAGAGGTTTACATGCTGTCTCTCTGCTTGTATTTCCTGCCTGCCTCTAAGCTGCCTTTGCCATAGGCCAATGCAGCTTTATTTATCAACTAATCAGAGCAACATATATTCACAGCACACAGAAAGACATCCCACAGCAGACTGGAGAAAACTCCAGCTACAGGCTCCCCATTGGACAATTGACTAGACAGTACTTTAAACTTTAATAACTGTCTGGAGATGCAAAAAGCATACATTTCCTCTCCCATGCTGGCCGGGTGCACAGAACACTTCTTGGATCAACTTGCCAGTGTCCCCATGTCAATATACCTACTTTGGGTCTATCGATTTCTCTTTAACAAATTTCTCCTTTAAAAATATTTGCTCATGGACAAGACAGTAAGTTCCAAGACATTCTACTTTTATGATAATCGTGAAACTGAGAGCAAAATAAAAATGGTCATGACTTGATTACTCTAACAATTCATTGGAATAAGGAATATTATTTAGACATTGGAAGGATGTGCTGCTGCCAGGCTCAGTGTTGCACATGGTCCGCGAGCTTCTTCAGAAGGCTGAAGCAGGAGGCTCCCTTAAGCCCGCGAAGTTGAGGCCAGCCTGGGAACCATTGCAAGACCCAACCTTTCCAAAAATAAAAAAAAACAAAAAAACTGTGAAGGGGTGTGTTAGTAGGAGAAAACTTACTGAATAACGTGTGTGGTGCAGTCTGTGTGTGGCTGTACGGTTGAGGGGATGAGGTAGAGGAGCCCAAGTTTCTTCCTTTTACTCCACGTTCTTCAGATGGATCTAATGTTTGTGATAGGCCCCTGCTCAGCAGCTCCAGCAGGAATTACATGGCTGGATGGGAGAAATCAATATTCCAAAGTTTGTTGACCAGCACTGGCTGGCTGTGCACTCCCCGGTCTCTTTCTGCTTCCATTTTAATTGATCTCTTTCTAGGTGGTCTACGGAACTCCGCTCTCACTTGCCTGTGCTCAGGAGCTGCAGGTCTCACTCTGTGAAGAACCAACCTCCAGCCGCTTCCTGTGGCGGCTTTGGGAGCAGGACTCATTTTCCTTAATAAAATCATATTCTCTAGAAAGCCCCCCCTTCACAAAAACAACAACAAAGCAGAATAAGATGGTTTGTTTGTTTTCTCAGCTTACAAATCTTCCATTCCCTTTTCCGGTTGTCTTTTTCTCTTTCATCTCATGCTAATGGCTTTTGGTCATATTGCCATCCTTTTGCTGACACGCTGCTGAGATTTTTTTTTTTTTTTTTTAGATATTACATTGGTCATATATTAGTATCAACATCCACAGTTAAATGAACACAGTAATAGACTCACAGTCAGGGTCCATTCTGGACCTCAGAAGCCAAAGTTGACAAAGAGATGTTTGACATGAGCTTCCTAGCAGCCCAAGAAGCCATCAGCCATAGCCAGCACCATGGGAGCCTCCTTGTTTATGTCTAAATGCTATATTGCTATTATGTAAAGAAATGTTCTAACGGTAAAGCTTAGCTCACCCCAGCACTGGGACTGGCAGTCAAAACAGCAGGGCTGACTGGTTGACCCTGTGGGAAAGGGGATGAGGAAGGTCATCAGAGGGAAGAGCCCTAGGGCCTCACACAGGGCTGTAGAGGCAGGTGGGTTCCCGGCATAGTCAATAATCAGGCTGCCAAACACAATTCTAATGCCAGGCCCTGATGTAGTCACACCCACTGTGGAGGTTCCAGGCCCTGATGTAGTCACACCCACTGTGGAGGTTCCAGGCCCTGATGTAGTCACACTCACTGTGGAGGTCCAGGCCCTGATGTAGTCACACTCACTGTGGAGGTTCCAGGCCCTGATGTAGTCACACTCACTGTGGAGGTCCAGGCCCTGATGTAGTCACACTCACTGTGGAGGTTCCAGGCCCTGATGTAGTCACACCCACTGTGGAGGTCCAGGCCCTGATGTAGTCACACTCACTGTGGAGGTTCCAAGCCCTGATGTAGTCACACTCACTGTGGAGGTCCAGGCCCTGATGTAGTCACACCCACTGTGGAGGTCCAGGCCCTGATGTAGTCACACTCACTGTGGAGGTTCCAAGCCCTTATGTAGTCACACTCACTGTAGAGGTTCCAGGCCCTGATGTAGTCACGCCCACTGTAGAGGTTCCAGGCCCTGATGTAGTCACACCCACTGTGGAGGTCCAGGCCCTGATGTAGTCACACCCACTGTGGAGGTTCCAGGCCCTGATGTAGTCACACCCACTGTGGAGGTCCAGGCCCTGATGTAGTCACGCCCACTGTGGAGGCCCCAGCTCCAATCAATCTGGCTGCTGTGCCAAAGTCCCAGAAGACACTACTGGTCTGCAACTTCTATCTGGCCACCTGGAGAGTGGAGTCGCTGCAGGCTGTCTAGAGGCAGGAGGCAGGCACTGGCTGGATTAGACCCCCAGTGCAGGAGCTGACTGGAACTGGAGAAGGGAACAGTGCCCTGGTGGTGTGCTCCTTTACAATCTGCATCCCCATTCCTCCACAGACCCCCACTCAGCCCACAGTGCTGTTGTTTTAAAGTTCTTCTTCTTCTTCTTTTTTTTTTTTTTTTTTTTTGGTTTTTTGAGACAGGGTTTATCTGTGTAGCTTTGCGCCTTTCCTGGACCTCACACCATAGCCCAGGCTGGCCTCGAACTCACAGAGATCCACCTGCCTCTGCCTCCTGAGTGCTGGGATTAAAGGCGTATGCCACCACCGCCCGGCCTAAAGTTCCTATTATTAAGGTAACTGACTCTATTCTTTGGTTACACAGAACCTGTGGAGATGAAGCTATCAACAATCCAAAGTTTCCTTTATCATTAAGAGTGTATTGCTCTTTTATAGAGAGACGTTTATAAGGTGCTTCAGAAGATACACCTAACCATAGGAACAATGACTTCGATGAAGATGCCCGTATGTGGTCACCCACAGGGCATCCATAGGATTATACATTCTGTTGGAATGTTCTGGCTTATGTGCTCTGAGGTCTGATGTTGGCAGTGCACCAACAAGCCTATTTAACAAACTCGTGAGACTGCTGTTTTAACATTAATTTACCTATTTGTTTATGAACTATGAAAATCAGAAAGCCCACGTTCATGAGTCATTCCTGGAACATTCCCTTATCTGAGCAAGTTGTAATTCCATCAACCCTGGAAACTACATACGCAAAGTCATGTGCATGTCAGCACTTTTGGTCTCTCTTTCAGCAAAGCAACTCAGGAAGCTGATGCAGAAGTAAACACAAAAAGTGCTTAGCAAGGAATGAGAGACTAGCTAATTAATATCTAAGAGTGGCCGAGTCCAGCTCATGACACACCCACGTCCTTGCAGGGGCTAGCCACAGAAGCCAGGGAGTCTGCCTTTCCAACCTCAAGTGTTACCGTTTGAATGCTTGCACCCCTTCAGAACCCAGGTTCCAGTTTAACTCTCCAAACAGTATTTAGGAGGGAACCCCTGGAGTTAAGACTCTGCTCATGGCTCCATCAGTGCCCTTGCAATAGACGAGAGGGAACAGTCACCCTTTGTACCTCGGCCACTGGAGCGCAGTGTTGCTCTGACTGGTGAGGAGGTTGTAAGGGGCATCTGGGAGCAGGGAATGTTCCCCGTACACCAAACCTACTGGCACCCTCATCTTCTACAACAGTAAGAATCAAGTTTCTCTTGCAAATGACCCAGGCATTTCAGGTATTTTGTTACAGAACAGACCTGTTCAT